AAAAAAAAATTGTAAAGGTTTTAGCCCAATCCAAAAAGAACCATGCATGCTCTTCGTGATCTTGACGCTTACTCTTCACATTGATTGATCAAATCATTAGTATCACCAAATTAATTTCATAGAATTTCAATCATATTTTCAACTTCTGACCCTGTCTCTTCCTTATCACCAAAAAAATATTACATATTATAAAATGATAATTTCTTTTCATTCAAAACCTATAAGTATAAATATCAACACTTATGCAGTCACATTTCTACAAATTTTCTTAACTGTATTGTCACTTGCTAGCAACAAAAATGGATATCCTTCATGCAATCACCAAGCAAACTGACTTCTCCTTGAAGCTGGCCGAGCAATTCATGTCGACCGATGAAAACAAGAACCGCAACTTCGTGTTCTCGCCCTTACTCGTGCACATTGGTTTGAGCATGACGACATTTGGGTCTGGTGGGCCGACCCAAGACCAGCTTTTGGGCTTTCTCGGGTCCAAGTCCATTAATGAAATTGAATTGCTACTTTCGCAGCTTTTTACCCCGATGTTGGACGATAGGGAGGCGTTGGGCGGGCCCCGTTTGTCATTGGCCAACGGGGTTTGGGTCGACAGGAGTCTAACATTGAAGCCCACTTTCGAAAAATTCGTCGTGGAATCTTGTAAGGCTACACTTAAAAGTGTTGATTTTCAGTCTGAGGTTAGTTTAAATTGATCATTACGTTCAACCATCTTCTTTTTTTTTTTTTTTTTTTTTTTTTTTTTTATATTTCACATGTATATTTTCTTCAGTTCATTTTGTTATGTCTTGAGTTATAAATGTTCGGTGTTCAGTCTTTTGAATTACACTGGTCAATGGTCATAAGTTCCAAATTTTTTATTTCCATTTCCACTGTATCTTTTAATTAATTTAGTTGTTTAAGTTATAAAGTTTTGCGTCCAATCTTTTGGATAACACCAATCATATATCTTGCTAGCAATCTTTCAAAATTTTTTATCTGTACAATATGTATTGTTTTACGTAGGCCGATGAGGTAGCAAAGAGAGTTAATGCATGGGCAGAGGAGAAAACAAATGGCCTAATCAAACAAGTACTACCACCCGATTCGGCTAACAATCTTACGAGGCTCATCCTTGCCAACGCACTCTACTTCAAAGGGACCTGGAACAATTATTTCCATAAAAAACTGACGAGTGACCGTGAGTTTTTCCTTTTGAACGGTATCTCTGTTCGCGCGCCTTTCATGACGACCTCCGGGTCCCAATACTTCCGTGCATTTGACGGATTTAAAGTCCTAAGACTTCCATACAAAAATGGCCGTGATAGTGAGCACAGGTTCTCGATGTACTTGTTCCTTCCCGAAGCCATAGACGGCCTCCCGTCTATAGTTGGCAAGTTGGGGTCGGTTTCCGGTTTCATACAGTGCCACGCCCCTTATGAACGGATGCATCTAGGAAAATTTTTCATCCCAAAGTTCAAAATAAGTTCGGTTTCGAAGCGTCTAAGGTTCTCAAGGGGAAGGGATTGGTTCGTCCTTTCTCGTCCGGGGGACTGACCGAGATGGTTCGGGAGTCAGGTCCCGGGAAGGAACTCTTTGTGGCGGGCATGTTTCAGAGGTCCTGCGTCGAGGTGGACGAGCATGGGACAGAGGCTGCTAGTGCTTTTGCTGTTATGTGTGGGGGTGGCCCTGGACCTTATGAACCAATGAATTTTGTGGCTGACCATCCTTTCATGTTTGTGGTGAGGGAAGATGTGAGTGGTGTGGTGTTGTTTGTTGGTCAAGTGCTTAATCCCCTCTCTACAGATTAGTGGTGGCATTTTGTGAAGATGATGATCATATTTCCTTAAAATGCTATGCTGAAGACTTGAAAAATAAATAAAATTTTATTTTATTCTTATTACTATTGTTGTTTTAATTTTCTCGGTAATGATAGATTTTATAAAAACACAAAATAATTACAACTAACCATAGTTTTTCAACTGGGATTGGCCCGACGGGTCAACGCAGAGCTGGAACACGTCCGAGTAGGATATTCAACAATGGACTCAGTAAAAACTTGGTCAACCCGGTCGACCACCCAGCCCCTATATTTAAAAGAATTTAAAACTATGTATATATATTTATATGTTAATTATATATCATGAGATACAATAGTATTTAGATGTACATATTTTATACGATTGTACATTAAAAACTATGTATATATATTTATACGATTTTACATTAATCCTAAGTTTTTTTTTTCTTTTTTTTTTTTTTTTTTTTTTTTTAATTTGCTATTGATGATGATGGCTTGGGTTGATGTGCTTTCTGATGTTAAATTTTTTATGAGTAGTTAAATCCATTTGCTAGGGATATGAGATGACTGATTAGGTTCAATTATGATTGCTTGTTTTTTATTGTTCATATATATGCGAGTTGTGTGAATTATAGGGTTAGTTGACTGATCACTATTCTAACCTAGTTAATCAACGTGTAGAATCGAGAAAGGAGACATTGGTCGATTTAGGCTCGTTTAGAATAGACTTGTTCGTCATAGTATTGTCTATGTGTTGTTGGAATTGATAATTGATCGTTTACATTCACTCTCTTGTTATTTATTTGAGAGTGAACCTCTGGGCAAAGAACGATTCAAGTCCTTTAACCGAGTAATTGATTGCCCGATAATTGAGTTAGAACCGAAAGCAATTGTCCCCGGTTCTCTAGCTCTTTAAACATTGAGTGAATGTTTGTTATTTAAATTGCATTTTATTCAGTTTAAAATTATTAGTAGATGAATTGAAACCCGAAAAATATTGAATTAGAGTGTTTAGAATTTTTGTCTTCTCTTTTTGTGATTGATTAATCGTACAATTAAATCCGTCTAACCTTCCTTGCTATACGACCCGGAGAAAGAATCTTTCGATTCTACTCCGATAAAACTACTACAACAAAATCTAAATTGAATACACCATAATTTTTAAAGTATTAAATAGTCCTCAGACATCCCAATTGATTACAAACATTGTTAAAAAGTCTTAAATTGTCACTTAAAATCTCAATTGAATACATCTCTTTTAATAGCTGGGAAGGTAGAGTGAGTTATTTAGTGTGGTGAAATAATAATAATAATAATAATAATAATAATAATAATAATAATAATAATAATAATAATAATAATAATAATATGTTAACTGCCATTTTCATTTAACAATAAAATATTTTCTTATTGTTTTATGATCTGTTTGTGTTCTTTTCTTTTTGGAAGAGGTCTAACATATTTGGAATTCTCATCTTTCACAAAGGAATGTGTATCAGTTATTTTAGCAGTTAATATATCATCGGCCCTTTTGTTTTCATCGATCTCTCTTTCATCTTCTTCGTTCTGCAAATCTCAGAATCAAAGCCTAGCAACAAAAAATGGATATCCTTCGTGCCATCTTCAGGCAAACGGACTTCTCCTTGAAGCTGGCCGAGCAACTTATGTCGACCGATGAAAACAAAAACAGCAACTTTGTCTTCTCGCCTTTACTCTTGCACGTTGCTTTGAGCATGGCGGCATTCGGGTCGGGCGAGCCGAGCCGAACCCACCTTCTGTGGTTTCTCAGGTCCAAGTCCATTAATGAACTCGAATTGCTACTTTCGCAGCTTTTTATCCCGATGTTGAACGACAGGGGATCTTTGGGCGGGCCCCGTTTGTCGTTGGCCAACGGGGTTTGGGTCGACCGGAGTTTTACCTTGAAGCCCGCTTTCGAAGAATTTGTCGTGCAATCATGTAAAGCTACTCTAAAAAGTGTTGATTTTCAGGCTAAGGTTAGTTTTTGCATTGATGATTGATCATGAATTTCAATTTTCTTTTTGCCATGTCAATATCTTTAATTCATTTGGTTATGTCTTAAGTTATAGATGGTTTGTGTTCAGTCTTTTGGATTACACAAAAATCATTATTTAGTGCTAGATTTTGATATGGACAATATATGCACTTTTTTTTTTTTTTT